GGTCAGGATGGTCTTGATCTCCTGACCTTGTGATCTGCCCTCCTCAGCCTCCCAAAGTGCTGGGATTACAGACGTGAGCCACCACGTCCAGACAATAATTCTTAATAAAACTGTTAAATGTTTTTAAGTACAGGGAGAGCAACGCAGTGGCTCACACCTTAAATCTCAGCACTTTGGGAGGCCAAGACAGGGGCACTGTTTGAGTCCAGGAGTTCAAGACCAATCTGGGCAACATAGCAAGACCCCATCTCTAAAAAAAATAAATAAATAAAGTTAGCCAGGCATGGTGGTACATACCTGTGGTCCCTGCTACTTGGGAGACTGAGGTGGAAGGATTGCTTGAGCCCAGAAGGTCAAGACTGCAATGAGCTGTATTGGCATCACTGCAGTCAGCCTTGGCAACAGACATCTCATTTCAAAAAAGTTAAAAATTAATAAAATGAAGTACAGTCTTTCACTCAGCTTCCCTCAGTCGTGACATCTTAAATAGCTGCAGTATAATATCAAAACCAGGAAATTGACATTGGTACATTGCTGTTACCTAGAAAGATCAATAAGTGATCCTTTGTACGGGTACTCTTCACTTCCTACTTTATACACTCTGTTTCAACTATTTATAATGTTAATAAAAATAATAAAGTTGTGGCCGGGCGCGGTGGCTCAAGCCTGTAATCCCAGCACTTTGGGAGGCTGAGGTGGGTGGATCACGAGGTCGAGAGATCGAGACCATCCTGGTCAACATGGTGAAACCCCGTCTCTACTAAAAATACAAAAAATTAGCTGGGCATGGTGGCACGTGCCTGTAATCCCAGCTACACAGGAGGCTGAGGCAGGAGAATTGCCTGAACCCAGGAGGCGGAGGTTGCGGTGAGCCGAGATCGCGCCATTGCACTCCAGCCTGGGTAACAAGAGCGAAACTCTGTCTCAAAAAAAAAAAAAATAATAATAATAATAATAAAGTTGTTCATTTTTTTAAAAATGCCTTCAATAATGAAAAAGATATAATTAGCCTCTAAATAATGAAAAAAAGGCTGGGTGCGGTGGCTCATGTCTGTAATCCCAGCACTCTGGAAGGCCAAAGCGGGCAGATCACCTGAGATCAGGAGTTCAAGACCAGCCTGGCCAACACGGAGAAACCCCATCTCTACTAAAAATACAAAATTAGCCGGGCGTAGTGGTGCATGCCTGTAATCCCAGCTACTGGGGAGGCTGGGTCAGGAGAATTGCTTGAACCCTGGAGGTGGAGATTGCAGTGAGCCGAGATCGCGCCATTGCACTCCAGCCTGGGCAACAAGAATGAAACTCCACGAAGGGTTCAAGAGATATTAAAAGTAAAATATTAGAAAATGGGGTTTTAGATTAGCTGAAGAGCAAATGGAAAAGAAAAAAAAAACGACATCATAGTTTGTATTAGTCCATTCTCACACTGCTATAAAGATACTACCTGAGACTGGGTAATTTATGAAGAAAAGAGGTTTAACTGACTCAAGTTCCACATGGCTGGGGAGGCATCAGGAAATTTACAATCATGACAGAAGGCAAAAGGGAAGTTAAGACATGGCTTACATGGCAGCAGGAGAGACAGAGAAAGGGGGAAGGACCAGACACTTATCAAACAACCAAATTTCATGAGAATTCACTATAATGAAAACAGCATCGGGGAAACAGCCCCCATGACCCACTTACCTCCCACCAGGTCCCTCCCTCAACGTGTGGGGATTACAATTTGAGATGAGATTTGGGTGGGGACACAGAGCCAAACCATATCATAGTTCTTTCCTTATTTGGGAGTTCAATGATAAAAGGTGAGGAGCAGTCCATTATGAAGGGTAAGTGAAGACCAGGGAAAGACATCTTTGGCAAATCACATTATATGGCTCAAGAGAATGAATCTGCATTTTTAAGTTTACAAAGGGCCAGATCCTGATGATTTAAGAACAATTTAAGTGATTTTCCAAGAATATTTTGACAACCTATGATTTGTGACTCAGATGTTTACTAGAGAAACTAAGCCTGATGGCCAATTCTGCCACGTGCCTTGTAACTTGATGATAGACTCTCTAATTGTAACTCCTTTTTTTTTTTTTTGGAGACGGAGTTTCGCTCTTGTTACCCAGGCTGGAGTGCAATGGCGCGATCTCGGCTCACCGCAACCTCCACCTCCTGGGTTCAGGCAATTCTCCTGCCTCAGCCTCCTGAGTAGCTGGGATTACAGGCACATGTCACCATGCCCAGCTAATTTTTTGTATTTTTAGTAGAGACGGGGTTTCACCATGTTGACCAGGATGGTCTCGATCTGTTGACCTTGTGATCCACCCGCCTCGGCCTCCCAAAGTGCTGGGATTACAGGCTTGAGCCACCGCGCCCAGCCCTGTAACTCCTTTTTTTTAAGACAGGGTCTCACTCTGTCTCATTGGAGTACAGTGACATGATCTTGGCTCACTGCAACCTCTGCCTCTGGGGTCCAAGCAATTCTCCTGCCTCAGCCTCTCGAGTAACTGGGACTACAGGTATGAGCCACGACGCCCAGCTAATGTTTTTGTATTTTTAGTACAGATGGGGTTTCACCATGTTGGCCAGGATGGTCTTGATTTCTTGACCTCGTGATCTACCCACCTCGGCCTCCCAAAGTGCTGGGATTACGGGCATGAGCCACCGCACCCGGCCAATTGTACCTTCTTAAGGCCAATGCTCTCCCACCAAGGGGCAGCCCTTGCCCAAACCCTCCCTCGAACCACAGCTGAACGGATTGAGAGGGCCATCTGACCCCGAACAGCCATCCCATAGGTGGTATGGTAGGCAAAATAATGGTTTTACAAAGATGTCCATGTCCTAATCCCTGAAACTTGTGAATATGTTATCTTATATGGCAAAAGAGACTTTGCAAATGTAATTAAGTTAATGATCTTAAGATCGAGAAATTATTCTGGACTATCTCAGTGGGCTCAATGTAATCACAAAGATCTTTGTAAGAGGGAGGAAGAAAAGTTAGAGTTCAGAGATCTAACCACTGAAGCAGAGACTAGAGAAATGCAAAGTTACGAGTCAAGGAATGCGGGCAGCCTTGAGAAGATGGACAAGGCAAGGAAACGGATGGTCCCTAGAGCCTCCAGAAGAAATGCAGCCCTGCCAACATCTTCATTTTAGCCATGTTAAGACCAATTTTGGATCTCTGATCTCTAAAAATAAATTTTTGTTTAAAGTCACTAAGCTGCCAGGGGCTGTGGCTTACGCCTATAATCCCAGCACTTTAGGAGGCTGAGGTGGGCAGATCACCTGAAGTCAGGAGTTCAAGACCAGGCTGGATAACTTGGTGAGACCCCATCTCTACTAAAAATACAAAAAATTAGCCAGGCATGGTGGTGCATGCCTATAATCCCAGCTACTCAGGAGGCTGAGGCAGGAGAATCACTTGAACCTGGGAGGCGGAGGTTGCAGTGAGCTGAGATCATGCCACTGCACTTCAGCCTGGGCAACGAAGTGAGACTCTGTCTCAAAAAAACAAAGCCACTAAGTTTATAGTAATATGTTAAAACAGTATGAGGACACTCATACAGTTGTTCAGCAACCTATGAAATAGGTTTTTAACAAAACAGACACATGGGGCCAATTTCCCTATTGCAGCTATCTGATTCCAAGCAACGAGACTTTTTTTTTTTTGAGATAGGGTCTCACTCTGTCATCCAAATTGAAGTGCAGTGGTGCAATCATGGCTCAATGCAGCCTCAACCTCCCAGGCTCAAGCAATCCTTCCACCTCAGCCTCTCAAGTAGCTAGGACTATAAGCACAAGCCACCACACCTGTCTACATTTTTAATTTTTTATAGAGACAGGGTACCACTCTGTTGTCCAGGCTGGTCTTGAACTCCTGGGCTCAAGCAATCCCGCCTTGGCCTCCCAAAGTGCTAAGATTATAGGCATGAGCCACCATGCCCAGCCAAGACTCTTAATAGCAGGGGGTAAACTGACATATATAGCTGTGCTTGTAATGGCCATGGGATGAAGTTAGAAGTGAAGAAGAGACTGTATGACTTCTGACAGAAGTAAAGCAAGAAGCCAGCTCAAAGAGCCAAAGTCCCTGTGCCTAATGGCTTCTTATTTGTAGTCTGGTAATAAACACCTTTTCAGTAAATCTTCTTTATCTAGAGGTAGCATAACTGAGTCTGTTCCTTTCAAAAAGAGATCAATTACAGGGCTGAGCACAGTGGCTCACACCTGTAATTCCAGCACTTCAGGAGGCCAAGGTGGGAGGATTGCCTGAGCCCAGCAAAATTGAGACCAGCTTGGGCAACACAGAAAGACCTCACCTCTTAAAAAAAGAAAAAGAAAAGAAGGTGAACTAGAAATAAATAAAGATCCCAGCTGGGCATGTGATGGCTCACACCTGTAATCCCAGCACTTAGGGAGGCAGAGGCAGGTGGATCACAAGGTCAGGAGTTCAAGACCAGCCTAGCCAATATGGTGAAACCCCGTCTCTACTAAAAAAAAATATGTAACTTAGCCAGGCATGGTGGCATATGCCTGTAGTCCCAGCTACACGGGAGGCTAAGGCAGGAGAATTGCTTGAATCCAAGAGGTGGAGGTTGCAGTGAGCCAAGATCACGCCATTGCACCCCAGCCTGTGTGACAGAGTGAGACTCTGTCTCAAAAAAAAAAAAAAAAAAGATCTCATATACAGCCTCTCTTGTAAAGTGGATCTGAGATAATTTGCAATCCTACTTTACCATTTTCAAGCTTTATTTACTACTGGAAAGTAATCTGAACATTTGAAAACACCAGAACCACATACATGTACTATTATTATCTATTCCCCCTACAACATTCCTTAATTTCACTAGTGAATAAAAATGAAAGCAATCTGTAATTCAAAGGTATCAATATATAACTGCTCAAATATTTACCAATCTATAAGGGGACTGCACAATAAAATTCAGATACAAAACATGAAAAACAATAAAATAAAGTTATTTTACACCAAGTTACGACATCCTGATTCTTACCATGTAGGGATCCACAGAAAGATAAAGAGTTCTAACTTGTACTTGTCCTTCACTGATATTATCTGGTAAACAGACTTCTTCCATTCGGAAATTCTCTGCCACTGGATTACCATTTTTTCCTAAAATAATAGGCAAAAATATAAAGTAAGCAGGGTCACTTTACTATACGCTTTTTTTTTTTTTTGAGACGGAGTCTCGCTCTATCACCCAGGCTGCAGTGCAGTGGTGCAATCTTGGCTCACTGCAACCTCTGCCTCCCGGGTTCAAGTGGTTCTCCTGACTCAGCCTCCCAAATAGTTGGAATTACAGGCATGCACCACCATTCCTGGCTAACTTTTTGTATTTTTAGTAGATACGGGGTTTTACCATGCTAATCAGGCTGGTCTCAAACTCCTGACCTTGTGATCCACCCACCTTGGCCTCTGAAAGTGCTGAGATATACTTATTATTCTTTCTTTTTTTTTTTTTTTTTTTTTTTTTTGAGACGGAGTCTCACTCTGTTGCCCAGGCTGGAGTACAGTGGCGCAATCTCAGCTCTCTGCAACCTCTGCCTCCTGGGTTCAAGTGATTCTCTGCCTCAGCTTTCTGACTAACTGGGATTACAGGCACCCACCACCACACTTAGCTAAATTTTGTATTTTTTTTTTTTTTGAGACGGAGTTTCGCTCTTGTTACCCAGGCTGGAGTGCAATGGCGCGATCTCGGCTCACTGCAACCTCCGCCTCTCGGGTTCAGGCAATTCTCCTGCCTCAGCCTCCTGAGTAGCTGGGATTACAGGCACGTGCCACCATGCCCAGCTAATTTTTTGTATTTTTAGTAGAGACGGGGGTTTCACCATGTTGACCAGGATGGTCTCGATCTCTCGACCTCGTGATCCACCCGCCTCGGCCTCCCAAAGTGCTGGGATTATAGGCTTGAGCCATCGCGCCCGGCCTAAATTTTGTATTTTTAGTAAAGATGGGATTTCAACATCTTGGCCAGCCTGGTCTTGAACTTCTGACCTCATGATCCACCCACCTTGGCCTCCCAAAGTGCTGGGATTACAAGTGTGAGCTACCACCCAGTCATACTTATTATTCTTTAAAGGGTCACTCTAGGATTCAGAGCACTTCCTTTTAAAACAGGCACAAGTAAATCTATATTGTTTTGTAATTCTTCTCTAACTATAGAAATGACTCCATATGTATTTCTTTTTTTTAAGACACAGGGTTTTACTCTGTCACCCAGGATAGAGTGCATCTAAACTTTCCATCCTCATTTTATGAAGCAAATAGAAACTTAAAGGCCGGGCGCGGTGGCTCAAGCCTGTAATCCCAGCACTTTGGGAGGCCGAGGCGGGTGGATCACGAGGTCAAGAGATCAAGACCATCCTGGTCAACATGGTGAAACCCCGTCTCTACTAAAAATACAAAAAAATTAGCTGGGCATGGTGGCTCGTGCCTGTAATCCCAGCTACTCAGGAGGCTGAGACAGGAGAATTGCCTGAACCCAGGGGGCGGAGGTTGCGGTGAGCCGAGATCGCGCCATTGCACTCCAGCCTGGGTAACAAGAGCAAAACTCCGTCTCAAAAAAAAAAAAAAAAAAAAAAAAAAAAAGAAACTTAAATGAATATAAAAGTAATAATAATAAAATCTGAAAAATTAGAAAATTTGAGGCATGAGAAAAATTTATAAGGAAAGGTCATCATAGAAACTGAAATGAATATAAAAGTAGTAATAATAAAGTCTGAAAAAACAGGAAGTAGGAAATTAGAAAATTTGAGGTAAGGCACTTTGGGAGGCCGAGGTGGGCAGATCACAAGGTCAAGAGATCAGGACCATCCTGGTCAATCAACATGGTGAAACCCCACCTCTACTAAAAATATAAAAATTAGCTGGGCATGGTGGCATACGCCTGTAGTCCCAGCTATTCGGTAGGCTGAGACAGGAGAATTGCTTGAATCCGGGAGGCGGAGGTTGTGATGAGCCAAGATCGCACTATTGCACTCCAGCCTGGGCAACAAGGGCGAAATTCCATCTCAAAAAAAAAAAAAGGAAATTTGAGATAGGAGAAAAGTTTGTAAGAACAAAAGGTTACCACTAGAAGGTGCTCATCTTCAGATATGTTTAATGCAAATTTACTATTCATAGAATTATTAAATTTATACGGTGGGAATAGTACATAAAGGTCTTAATCTAACTGCTCATTTTACTAAAATTGAAATCAGAAAAGTTGAGTGACTTCTGCAAGTGAGCAGCAAACAGTGACCCAAATCTTTGAGGTTACTTCCACACCTGTTTTTACAACGCAATTTACATGTACTGGTAAGTTAGTACATTCCACATAAAAAAGAAAAGCAAATTTTAAGGACTAATAATACATACTCTAAAGAAGAAACAAAAGCCACATATATTTGTAATGTAACCTTTCAAATGCTTTGATTCCAAAATACCTTATTTCACCAACAAATGCCTGGATAAGTTATCACCTGAAAGACTATATTACATTGTTTAAAAATGGCCTTGATAAGCTATCACTTGAAAACAATTACATGGTTTAAAAAGTGTCTTTTAATATCTTTACTAGTGTTAGTATCTAACTACTTTAATTTACCACATGAATATCACATTAGTTTTTATTCATTCCTCCATTTGCATTAATAATTATCAAAGGCCACAGCTGTTCATTCTTCACAAATACATACCAGGTCGAGAATTCAATACCACTCTTTGAACAATCATCGCTCTGATTGGGCAGTGGTCTCACAAGATTTCTGTATAAAATATTCCTACAAATAGAAAAAATTTTTAATCACAAATAAGATTTGAAGTATTCAACAATTTAAAAATAAAAAAGAAGTCCATTTGTGTTTCTCAATGAAGAGGGAGAAAAATCACATTTAGGATCCAAAAAAGACAAACTCTCCTGTCACAGTTTGCCTCCTAAAGCAAATATATGAAAAAAGACTATATATAGTTAGAATTCTTAATAGGAACAAGTTCACTGAAGATTAAGTGAGGTAAAATGTTTTTGGTCTCAGATAATTCAAGCTTAGGCATCTTTAAGCACATCATCATGATGAAGCCTCCTACGGCTCAATTAAAAGAAAACAACACAAAGCTGGTCCAAAGGTAGTGAATTATCTCAACTGACTGTTCTACGCTTGTTCTACGCTTCCCGCTTCTCAATACTGCACTTGACTTGTTTTTAAATAAAGTAAAAAACATAAAACAAACAATATGATACATTCCTCCAGAGCTAGTAGTTAGTATCTAGTGGCAAAATAAAAACACTAACTGCTTAATTGACATGTAATCACATTATTTTTTTTTTCAGATAGAGTCTCACTCTGTCACCCAGGCTGGAGTGCAGTGGTGCGATCTCGGCTCGCCGCAACCTCTGCTTCCTGGGTTCAAGTGATTCTCCTGACTCGGCCTCCCATGTAGCTGAGATTACCATGACATCCTGCTAATTTTTTGGTATTTTTAGTAGAGACGGAGTTTCACCATGTTGGCCAGGCTGGTCTTGAACTCTGACCTCAAGTGACACATCTGCCTCGGCCTCCCAAAGCGCTGGGATTACAGGCATGAGCCAACACACCTAGCCACGTAACCGAATTTTCAAAGGCTCTTCTATTCATTTACCAAAATGAAAATTCCTTTGCCTTCTTATCAGTGGTGAATTTTAAAAAAACAAAAATTTCTTAACAGTTTAGCTGATGATAAAAGTAATACATCAAAGGAATTTAAAAATCCTTACCTTATAGGAAATTCCGTATCACAATACGGCCAATAAGTAAAGGATCAGTTTATTCTGTTTGGTTTTGTTTTTTGAGATGGGGTCTCGCTATGTTGCCCAGGCTGGTCTCAAGTGGTCCTCCCACCTTGGCCTCCCAAAGTTCTGGGATTACAGGTGTGAGCCACTGCATCTGGCCAATTTATTCTGGATTTACAATTTGAGCTGATGAAAGAAACAAAATGAAGTTCCAGTACTAGCACTAACTGACTTGTTGAAAAGCACTTTGCTAGCCTGGCACAGTGGCTCACACCTGTAATCCCAGCACTTTGGGAAGCCAAGGCGGGTGGATCACGAGGTCAAGAGATCAAGACCATCCTGGCCAACATCGTGAAACCCGGTTTACTAAAAATACAAAAACTGGCTGAGCGTGGTGGCAGGAGCCTGTAGTCCCACCTACTCAGGAGGCTGAGGCAGGAGAATGGCTTCAATCTGGGAGGCGGAGGTTGCAGTTAGCCAAGATCGCACCATGGCAACAGAGTAAGACTCCATCTCAAAAAAAAAAAGAAAGAAAGAAAGAAAGAAAAGAAAGAAAATCACTTTGCTTACTTTATCCACCAGTGAAAATTAGAAAATCAAGCCTTTAGTGTTACTATGTGCCAGGCACTGTTGTGAGTGCTTTGTACAGCTTTACTACCGGGATACATGCTGGGAAATACGACATTAGGTGATTTCATCATTGTGTGAATATCAGAGTGTACTTACACAAACATAGATGGTACAGATTACTAGACACCTAGGCTACATGGTTTAGCCTATAACTTCCTGGGTACAAACCTATATGGCATGCTGCTGTACTGAATGCTGCAGACAACTGGAACACAATGGTAAGTATTTGTGTATCTAAACATAGAAAAAGTACAGTAAAAATATGGGATAAAAGATTTAAAACTAGTATCTCTATAGGGCATCTTACCATGAATGGAGCTAAGCAGAATAGAAGTTGCTCTGGGTCAGTCAGTGAGTGAGTGGTGAGAGAATGTGAAAGCCTAGGACATTACTGTAGGTTATTTAGACTTTATTAACACTATACACTTAGACTACACTAAATTTATCAAAAAGTAAAGTAATCGGGCAGGTGCAGTGGCTCATGCCTGTAATCCCAACACTTTGGGAGGCCAAGGCAGGTGGATCATTTGAGGTCAGGAGTTTAAGACCAGCCTGGCCAACATGGTGAAATCCCATCTCTACTAAAAATATAAAAAACTGCTGGCCATGGTGGCATGCGCCTGTAATCCCAGCTATTTGGGAGGCTGAGGCAGGAGAATCGCTTGAACTCAGGAGGTAAAAGTGTGGTGAGCTGAGATTGCGCCACTGCACTCTAGTCTGGGTAACAGAGTAAGACCCTGTCTCAAAAAATAAATAAATAAATAAAAAGTAATTGCACTATAACATTCTGATGACTATGACATCACCAGGTAAGAGGAATTTTTCAATTCCATTATAATGTTATGGGAGGCTCATCATCTGTCATTGTCTGAACCATCATTATGTGACAAATGACTGTATAATCTCACCGGTTGTGACAGGACAGCTAGCTGCCCTCAAAGACCATCCTCTCTTTCTGGACATTATGTTGTCCAGCTAAAAGACTATATTTTCCAACCTCCCCTTGAAGCAAATCACTGCCGTCACAGATTTAAACATAAACACTATGCCATTATTATAACACCTAACAGAAGTAATAGTACAGGTAATTTCTTATCATCATCTAATGCATAATGCATATTCAAATTTCCTGATTGTCTCAAAGATGTCTTTTTACAGTTGGTTCATTAAAATCAGAATTCAAGGTCCGCATACTACACTTTGAGCCTCCTTCCCTGTTTATTTCATGCTCTTGATTTGTTTCTTCATTACTTTGTAGAATGTTCTTTGATTGCTTTCTCATGGTGTCACTTACCATCACAAGGTAAATGACAAGTTTTTAAAGAAAGAAGGAAAAGTCCCTTCTATTTCCTCCCCTTATCCATGACGGCTAGTTACATCTAGAGGCTTCATTACTTCAGGTTCAATTTTTCAGGCAAGAATCTTTAAGGGCAGTGCCACATGCATTCATCACACTAAGAGGTCCATAACGTCATGTAGGGTTACATATGTTTTAAAAAGGAAATTTTCGCCAGGCGCGGTGGCTCAAGCCTGTAATCCCAGCACTTTGGGAGGCCGAGGCGGGTGGATCACGAGGTCGAGAGATCGAGACCATCCTGGTCAACATAGGGAAACCCTGTCTCTACTAAAAATACAAAAAACTAGCTGGGCGTGGTGGCCCCTGCCTGTAATCCCAGCTACTTAGGAGGCTGAGGCAGGAGAATTGCTTGAACCCAGGAGGCAGAGGTTGCGGTGAGCCGAGATCGCGCCATTGCACTCCAGCCTGGGTAACAAGAGCGAAACTCCGTCTCAAAAAAAAAAAAAAAAAAAAAAAAGGAAATTTTCTACAGAATCACCATGTGTCAATTATATAAGGGTTAAAAAGCCAAAGTTTTCCAAGTTAAGTGGGTCTAAGAGTCCTTATGTAGCTAGGCACGGTGGTTACTGCCTATAATCCCAGCATTTTGGGAGGCTGAGGTGGCAGATTACCTGAGGTCAGGAGTTTGAGACCAGCCTGACCAACATGGAGAAACCCAGTCCCTACTGAAAATACAAAATTAGCTGGGCATAATGGCGCAGGCCTAATTCCAGCTACTTGGGAGCCTAAGCCAGGAAAATTGTTTGAACTGTGAGGCGGAGGTTGCGGTGAGCTGAGATCGTGCCATTGCATTCTAGTCAGGGCAATAAGAGCGAAACACAGTGTCTCTCTTTTTTTAAGACGGGGTTTCACCATGTTGGTCAGGATGGTCTGGAACTCCCGACCTCAGGTGATGTGCCCGCCTTGGCCTCCAAAGTGCTTGGATTACAGGCGTGAGCCACCGCGCCCAGCTGAAACTCAGTCTCAAAAAAAAAAAAAAAAAAAAAAGTCCTTAGGTAGTAATAGAACTATAATGGCTACATTTTCTTTTTTTTTTTTTTTTTTTTGAGACGGAGTTTCGCTCTTGTTACCCAGGCTGGAGTGCAATGGCGCGATCTCGGCTCACCGCAACCTCCGCCTCCTGGGCTCAGGCAATTCTCCTGCCTCAGCCTCCTAAGTAGCTGGGATTACAGGCACGTACCACCATGCCCAGCTAACTTTTTGTATTTTTAGTAGAGACGGGGTTTCACCTTGTTGACCAGGATGGTCTCGATCTCTCGACCTCGTGATCCACCCGCCTCGGCCTCCCAAAGTGCTGGGATTACAGGCTTGAGCCACCGCGCCCGGCCTATAATGGCTACATTTTCAAAGCAATCTTTCCAAATGAAATGTCGTATTTGTCCTCTTCTCTGTCAATGTTTTATTTCTTTAAAATATTAATACGTACATTATAGTTTGGTCCAAACACTGCATAGCAGCATGAAAAATATATTATTATAGTTCTTTCATTCTGTATTAAATTAGAAACTTTTCAAGTGTCAAATACTACAGTTAATATAGGATAATTGTGTGATATCCCTCAATAATACCCAAATCCCACACATTTAATATACAGATAACTTGGCTGGGCATGGTGGCTCACACCTGTAATCCTAGCACTTTGGGAGGCTGAGGTGGATGGATCACTTGGGGTCAAGAGTTTGAGACCAGCCTGGCCAACATAGTGAAACCCTGTCTCTACTAAAAATACAAAAATTAGCCAGGCATGGTGGTGTGCACCTGTAATCCCAGCTACTCGGGAGGCTGAGGCAGAATTGCTTGAACCTGGGGGGTGGAGTTTGCAGTAATTGAGCCACTGCACTCCAGCCTGGGGGACAAGAGCAAAACTTCATCCCCCCAAAAATAAAGATAAATAAAATCTAGATAACATCAGTCATAAAATTAACAGCTAAAGTAAGACACACCAAGTTCAAGATCTGAAAGATGGGTGGATTGTTAAATTCATCCCAAGTGGCGGAAAAAAACTCAGCAAATCCTATTCGCCTGGGATGATATTAAGTGCTTTCCTACTTGCTACTAATATTCCAAAATAATGACAGATGAATTTGCTCTGATGTGATGATAAAGAGCGTTTTGAGTGTGTACCCTGCAGCCTGGTAAAAGAGAAAGGGCATTTAACTAGGAAGAACTTGTCCTGGTTCTAACCAGATGGGACCTTGGAAAAAGTCCCTTCTCTTAACCTGTTTCCTTCGTGTTCCTAAATGCCAGGAACTGAGCAAATCTCATTTATCACCCTGTTTAAACTACTTCCCCCCACCCACACCCCCTGCCAAAAAAAACTGTTAGGTTGGTAATATTCTTTCAATTTTATAGATGAGAAAAGGGTCCGGGCATGGTGGCTCAGGCCTATAATCCCAGGACTTTGGGAGGCTGAGGTGGGCGGATCACCTACGGTAAGGAGTTTGAGACTAGCTTGGCCAACATGGTGAAACCTCATCTCTACTAAAAATACAAAAATTAACCGGGCACGGGGGCAGGCGCCTGTAATCCTAGCTACTCAAGAGGCTGAGGCTGAAGAATCGCTTGAACCTGGGAGGCGGACGTTGCAGTAAGCCAAGACTGCCACTGTACTCCAACCTGGGCGACAAGAACAAAACTCCGTTTCAAACAAACAAAAAAAAAGCCGGGCGCGATGGCTCACACCTGTAATCCCAGCACTTTCGGAGGCCAAGGCGGGTGGATCACGAGGTCAAGAAATTGAGACCATCCTGGCCAAAATAGTGAAACCCCGTCTCCACTAAAATACAAAAAAAATTAGCTGGGCGTGGTGGTGCGCGCCTGTATTCCCAGCTACTCGGGAGGCTGAGGTAGGAGAATTGCTTGAACCCGGGAGGCGGAGGTTGCAGTGAGCTGAGATCGCACCACTCCACTCCAGCCCGGCGCCTGGCAACAGAGACTCTGTCTCAAAAAAAAAAAAAAAAAAAAAAAAAAAAAAGAGAGAGAGAAAGAGAGGTACAGAAAGATTGAATAATTTGCCCAGGGTCGAACAACTTGTAATAACGCTAGACCCCATACTCCAACACGGCACCTACTCTTTCCATCACATGAGCTTCCCACCACCTTTTAATACCCTTATTTCCTGCTGTATTTCTGCCACTAGCAACTAACTCTGTTGACCACGCCTTGCTATAAAATGTGTCTTTCTGGGCCCAGAGCGGTGGCTCACACCTGTAATTCCAGCACTTTGGGAGGCTGAGATGGGAGAATCACTTGAGGCCAGGAATTTGAGCCCACCCTGGCCAACACGACGAAACCCGTCTCTACTAAAAATAGAAAAATTAGCTAGGCGTGGTGGCGGGTGCCTGTAGTCCCAGTTACAGGGGAGGCTGAGGCTGGAGAACCACCTGAGCCCAGGAGGTTGAGGTTGCAGTCGGCCGAAATGGAGCCAGGGCACTCCAGCCTGGCTGGGTGACAGAGTGATTCTGTCTCAAAAAGCAAACAAACAAACAAAACGAACACGTGTCTTTCTGGATCTCTCTGCCAGTCCTCTCCTCTCGATCGGGTCTTGGTGGCCTCCACCTTCCTCTCCCCAAGTCTTGTATGTGGGGATTCCTACCCGGCTCTTCCCTTTCTCAGTGACCTCACCTTACCCTATAGCTCCAGCTAGCAACCACTTTATATGGAAATTGGTATTAATTGGCGTCTCTAGCCCAGAATTTCAAACTAACTGCCCAGATCGTCAGCGCTAAGAGGATGAGGACTCGTCCGCTTTTTTCAGTGGTGTGAGTCCAATCCCCTAAGCCCGGCACACGGTAGGTGCTCAACAAATCTGTGTTAAATGAAAGTTCCAGAGACACCTCAAACACCTCGGGTTGCTCTCCCCCAAGAATTCAAAAACACCCCAAAACCTGTTTCTGCTTCTCGAGCTTTCCCTATCTCAGGGTCCCGGGCAATAACACCAGTGTCCCCGATAGCTCCGGGAAGACGCCTGGAAGTCACCCTGGTTGAGAGTCTTCTCCCTCACCGCGGGGGCCCGAAACAGCTCCGAGAGCCACAGTCCCAGCAGTCGCTCGCGCGTCGCTGACCGTCGTGGAGCCCAGGGGGAGCGAAATCTCGCGCGATTTGCCGGCAAGAGCGGCTGTGCAGGACGACCCCAGCTCGCCGCCAGGCCTCCGTCCGCAGTACGCAGGCGCGCGACTAGGCCCGGCTCCGCGCCCCCCTCCCCCCGCCTCCCAGGGGCGGGGTTTGGAAGTTTAGGGAAGATTCCTGGGCGCCCCACGTTTCCGGGAGAAGCAGAGGAAATGCGGCCGGGCCGGGAAGAGTTACAAGTCTGGGCAAAGTGCATTAATAAATTAACCGCGATTGGTTCCCTGTGGCCTCCCCCGCTACCTTGACCCAAAAAGCAAATCTTGCAACCTTGACCAGTAGGTTCACATTTAGCAGTCCTTGAAGGAGTTTCAATAGTTTTGTGGACTTCTCCCAGAACTTCGACTGGGAAATTATAGTGAGAGAGGGACCTTGACGGCCTACTCCTTGTTTTATAAATGGAGAAACTGAGTCTCGGAGAGATGATGTGATTGGACCGCCTACCTTTCAGCTGGTTAGGGGCAGTGCTGGGATGAAACCCCTCTCTCTGGACACTGATCCAGGGCCCCTTTGCACCTCTTTTATTTCACAAAGAATACCATATTCCTCTGATTACCCAGTGTGGGTTGATTTCTCAGTTTCATTAATTATTAGTCGTCTCTTTTTATGCCGAACTAGGTTGAGCAAAGTGTGTACCTAGGGCAGCTTCGGATCCCCAGGGACTTTAAACTCTAAGATAGATCATCTGAATTAGGCAGGATTAAGAATTGCTTGTATTCAGCCAGGCGAGGTGGCTCACGCCTGTAATCCCAGCACTTTGGGAGGCTGAGGCGGGCGGATCACTTTAGGTTGGGAGTTCGAGACCAGCCTGACTCTACTAAAAATACAAAAATAGCTGGGCGTGGTGGCACACGGCTGTAATCCCAGCTACTGGGAGGCTGAAGCAGGAGAATCACTTGCGGTGAGCCGAGATCATGCCATCGCATTCCAGCCTGGGCAAAAAGAGCGAAAACTCCGCTCAAAAAAAAAAAAAAAAAAAAAGAATTGCTCGTATTCTTGTGGGAGCTAATAGCTCAGCAGGCATCATGCGTGGAGTAGCTGAAAGATGACTGGATGGGGACCAAGGGAATAGTAATCAAACAGGTTGGAGCTCTTGGTAGCTTTATGTCTGAACATTTTTGCTTCTTTGGGAAAGCTTCAGGAAGGAGTACGAGAATTACACTACTTTGCAAACATTTTCAGACAGGAGCTAATATCTTTTATCTGTCATGGACGGGTAGACAAAAAGTAGTAGTATAAAATAAGGGTAATCTAGAACTTGATTTAAAAGAAACAATCTTTCAAAATAGAAAAGAAACTCTGTTATACTAAATTAGTTTTGGGGCTGGGCACAGTGGCTCATGCCTGTAATCTCAGATCTTTGGGAGGCAGAGGCAGACAGATTACTTGAGCCCAGGAGTTCGAGACCAGCCTGCACAACGTGGTGAAAGCATGTTTCTTCAAAAAATAAAATAAAATTAGCCAGGTGTGGTGATGCTTGCTAGTAGTCACAGCTACTCAGTAGGCTGCAGCAAGCCTTGATCACACCACTGCACTCCAGCCTGGATGACAGACTGACATCTTGTCTCAAAAATTTAAAAATATATATATGTACATATATATGTAAATTAGTTTTAGCTCTCTTGATTCTAGGGCCTGTGAACTCTTTGTAACAAGTGTAATTTTTCTGGCCAAAATGAGTTCCCATTCCCAAAAATTCAAGAAATGAGTGGAGGATTTACAAGTACATTTTCATCTTGTTTCTCCTCTACTTCTAAATTTTCTATAACACCAAAGATTACTATCATTTATATAATGCTTAGTTTAAGTTAGATAATGCTTTATATTATTTTTCGCCTACAGGATTTAATTTTCTTTTCTTTTTTTCTTTCTTTCTTTTTTTTTTTTTTTTGAGATGAAGACTCCCTTTGTCTCCCAGGCTGGAGTGCAGTGGCACAATCTCACCACATCCTCCACCCCCCAGGGTTCAAGCAATTCTCCTGCCTCAGCCTCCCTCCCAAGTAGCTGGGATTACAGGCATGCACCACCACACCCAGCTAATTTTTGTATTTTTAGTAGAGATGGGGTTTCACTATGTTCGTCAGACTGGTGTTGAACTCCTGACCTTGCCATCTGCCGGCCTCAGCCTCCCAAAGTGCTGGGATTACAGGAGTGAGCCAACACACCCAGCCTAGGATTTAATTTTCGAAACAGCCCTATTACCATTATTCCCATTTTACGAATGAGGAAATTGAGGTTAAACCAGTTAAGGACTAAGTCAGGTTAAGTTACTAATAAGTAAAGGAGCAAGTTATCTTACCTGAGTCTAAGCACCTGACCCTTTGTTATTTTGCTATAAATCTGGAATTCCTTACTCCTCCCACTTGGCAGAACTTTTTACTGCCTCCTTCTCATCATTCAAGAAATTCCTGAGAATCATTTAATCATTTTCTTTTTTTTTTTGAGATGGAGTCTCGCTCTGTCACCCAGGCTGGAGTGCAGTATTGCCATCTCGGCTCACTGCAGCCTCTGCCTCCCGGGTTCAAGCAATTCTTCTGCCTCAGCCTCCCAAGTAGCTGGGACTACAGGCACATACCACCAAGCCCAGGTAATTTTTGTATTTTTAGTATTTTCACCATATGGCCAGGTTGGTATTGAACTCCTGACTTCAGGTTATTTGCCTGCCTCGGCCTCCCAAAGTGCTGAGATTACAGGTGTGAGCCACTATGCCTGGCCATATTTTTTCCTCCACTTCTGCCAGTAAAACTTAGCTCCACTAATCTACATTTTACTTATAATGCTGACTGATGAAATCCAGAGCCTGAACCTAAAAATACCAAGTCTTCAAAATTAGTAAAAGAAGTCTCAGAAAGAGATGAATGAGATTTGTCCTCTCCCCTGCAGTTACTGATGGAGACAGATCCTTCTGTGTCATCAAATTATTTCAAAGACTCTAACTGTATAAGGTGTTAAATTGAGAACATTCATGTGGGCCAGGTGCGGTGGCTTACACCTATAATCCCAGCATATTGGGAGCCCGAGGCAGGCGGATCACCTGAAGTTGGGAGTTTGAGACCAGCCTGACCAACATGGAGAAACCCTGCCTCTACTAAAAATACAAAATTATTACCATCCTTTTCTTGGTGTTGTGGTACTGTCCAATGAGCACATAATGAGGGCAATACTGCTAACACCTAAACAACACATCCATATCAACTAGAGCTTTGCTTCACCTTGGTGCAATTTTTGGAAAAATGAAAACCCACATTTCCAAGGTTAAAAAAATAATAATAAAACAATACAAATTTAGCCGGGAGTGGTGGCGGGCTCCTGTCATCCCAGCTACTGAGGAGGCTGAGGCAGGAGAATCACTCGAACCTGGGAGGCGGAGGTTGCAGTGAGCCAAGATTGCTCCAGCAATGACTGTGCTCCAGCCTGGGCAACAAAAGCAAAACTTTGTCTTAAAAAAAAGAACATTCATATGATTACCAACTTCTATGAATATTTATAAATGTGATCAACTTTTTTTGGCTCCGCATTAACACAACTGTCCTTTGAAGTATAATTTCAGAAAAGAGAGCTTAAACACTCTTAGAGGTTTAGAAATTCTTGCATGCCAACTGAAAATAACCTTGAAAGAAAAATCTTGGAAGATTGGCTATTGTAATACAACAGCAAATTTGTTATCTTTTGCTGCAAACAAATTACCCCCAAAACTTAGTGGTTTAAAACAGTGAACTTTTCTTATATCATTTCAGAGTTTTGAAGGGTCAGGAAGCCAGGCACAGTTTAGCTGGGGACTTCTGGCTCAAGGTGTCCATAATCAAGCTGCCAGTCTGGGCTTGGCTGTGGTCTCATAAGAAGACTAAGCTGGAGAAGAATCCACTTTGAAGCCTTTTTTCTTTTTTTTAGACAGTCAAGCTCTGTTGCCCAGACTGGAGTGCAGTGGCACAGTCTCAGCTCACTGCAGCCTCCACCTCCCAGGTTCAAGTGATTCTCATGCTTTAGCTTCCTCAGTACCTGGGACTACAGACATGCACCACTGCACCCAGCTAATTTTTGTATATTTAGTAGAGACAAGGTTTCACTATGTTGGCCAAGGAGGTCTCAAAGTCCTGGCCTCAAGTGATTCTCCCACCTCAGCCTCTCAAAGTGCTGGGATTACAGGCATCAGTCCCCATGCTTGGCTACTTCCAAGCTTTCTTACATAGGCCTCTATTCCTTATGGGATGTTGGATTAATTGAGGGCCTCAATTCCTGGTTGATTATTGGCTGGAGGCCTCTCTCAGTTCCTTTCCATGTGCACCTCTCGGTGGAACTGCCTCATGCTAGTGAGGTGAACCGGCAGGTAAGTAAAAACGTGTGTGTGCATCCTGCTGCCTTCTCAGAGCAAGCAGGCCAAGAAAGAGATGGAGAGCACACCTAGAGTGCAGTGGCATGATCTCAGCTCACTACAACCTCCACCTCCAGGGTTCAAGCAATTCTTCTGCCTCAGCTTCCTGACTAGCTGGGATTACAGGTTCCAGTCACTGTGCCCAGCTAATTTTTTTTTTTTTTTCTATTTTTAGTTGAGACGGGGTTTCAGCCAGTCTGGTCTTAAACTCCTGACCTTGTGATTCACCTGCTTCAGCCTCCCAAAATGCTGGGATTAGAGATGTGAGCCACTGTGCCCAGCCAGAAGCTGCAATCTTTTGTGTGACCCAAGCTTAAGCGTGACATCCCATTATTTCTGCCCCTTCTGTTCATTGGAAGCAAGTCACTAAATCCACCCGACACTCAAGGGAATCAGTAACTCTTTAGGAGGTAAGAATCATAGAAAACCAGCATAGAGGCTGCCTACTACAGTTGCCTTACTTGATAATTTGCTAGGTAAGTAATAATAGTATAATTGAAATGTCTGTTTTTTTTTTTTTTTGAGATAGACTTTCACTTTTGTTGCCCAGGCTGGAGTGCAGTGGCACTATCTCAGCTCACTGCAACCTCCATCTCCTGGGTTCAAGTGATTCTCCTGTCTCAGCCTCCTGAGTAGCTAGATCTACATGCATGAGCCACCATGCCCTGCTAATTTTGTATTTTTGATAGAGATGGGTGTTTCTCCATGTTGGTCAGGCTGGTCTCGAACTCCTGACCTCAGGTAATCTGCCCACCTCAGCCTCCCAAAGTGCTGGGATTACAGGCATGGGCCACTGTGCCCAGCCTAGAATGTATTCTTAAATTGTATAAATACTGTACTTATAAAACTGTAGTAATCAAAGCATTGTGTTGTTGATGCAAGGATAGATAGATCTTTTTTTTTTTTTTTTTTTTTTTTTTTTTGAGGCGGAGTTTCACTCTTGTTACCCAGGCTGGAGTGCAATGGCGCGATCTCGGCTCACCGCAACCTCCACCTCCTGGGTTCAGGCAATTCTCCTGCCTCAGCCTCCTGAGTAGCTTGGATTACAGGCACACGCCACCATGCCCAGCTAATTTTTTGTATTTTTAGTAGAGACGGGGTTTCACCATGTTTACCAGGATGGTCTCGATCTCTTGACCTCGTGATCCACCCGCCTCGGCCTCCCAAAGTGCTGGGATTACAGGCTTGAGCCACTGCGCCCGGCCCAAGGATAGATAGATCAATGGAAGTCAAGAGACAGCCTTGAAATAAACCCTTCCTTCATTATAGTCCATTGATTTTTGACAAAGGAATCAAGACAATTCAGTAGTACAATGATAATCTCAATAAATGATGCTGGTGCAATTGGATATCCAGATGCTAAAAAACGAAAGCAAAACCCCAGAAAACAACAACTAAAAGAAACTTGAACCTTTGCTCACACAAAATACAAAAATTAATTCAAAATGGCCAGATGCGGTGGCTCATGCCTATAATCCCAGCACTTTGGGAGGTTGAAGCAAGTGGATCACCTGAGGTCGGGATTTCGAGACCACCCTGGCCAATATAGTGAAAACCCATCTCTACTAAAAACACAAAATTAGCCGGGTGTGGTGACGCGTGTCTTTAATCCCAGCTACTCGGGAGGCAGAGCCAGGAGAATCGCTTGAACCCAGGAGGCTGAGGTTGCCATGAGCCAAGATCGTGCCACTGCACTCCAGCCTTGATGACAGAGAAAGACTCTATCCAAAAAAAGATTACAAACTAAAATCAAAGAGGTAAAACTATGAAACTCAAAAAAAGATGCCAAAGGCAGAAATCATAGAAGAAGATGTAATAAATTAGAATTTATCAAAATTTAAAACATAAAGTACCTTAAGAAAATGAAAGGGCTATGGGTGGTGGCTTACACCTATAATCCCAACACTGGGATGTCAAGCTGGGCAGATTGCTTGAGTTTAGGATTTCTAGACCAGCCTGGGCAACAGAGGGAGACCTCGTCTCTACTGAAATTTAAAAAATTATTATTAATAGCTGAGTGTGGTGGTGCATGCTTATAGTCCCAACTACTCAGCAGGCTGTGGTGGGAGGATTGGTTGAGACTGGGAGGTCAAGGCTACAGTAAGCCTTGATCATGCCACTACCCTCCAGCCCAGGTGACAGATTGTGACTCTCAAAAAGAAAAAGAAAGAAGAAAAAAAAAAAAGATAAGCCACAGACTGGAAGAAAATATTTGCAAATCGTATATCTGATAAAGGACTTATATTGAGAACACTTAAAGAACACATAACTTAATAGTTTGAAGATAATTCTGAGATAGGGCTGCTGAATATCTGAATGAGAAAAGAAAAAAATAAGGATATATGAAGACACTCAACCCAATTAATAAATGGTCCCAGGGGCTGGGTGCAGTGGCTCAGCATTTTGGGAGGCTGAGGCAGACGGATCACTTAAGGTAAGGATTTCAGGGCCAGCCTGGCCAACATGATGAAACCCCGTCTCTACTACAAAAAAATAAGAAAATTAGCTGGGCATGGTGGTGTGCACCTGCAGTCCTACCTACTGGAGAGGCTGAGGCAGAAGAATCACTTGAACTTAGGCGACAGAGGTTGCAGTGAGCCAAGACTGTGCCACTGCCACTCCAGCTTGGGCAACGAGCAAAATGCCATCTCCAAAACAAAAAAGTCAATTTATTTTTAAAAAGGAAATGATCTGTGATATATGCAACAACATGCATAGATCTCAAAAATATGTCAAGTGAGGCCAGGCGCAGTGGCTCAGGCCTATAATACCAGCACTTTGGGAGGCCAAGGCGGGTGGATCACGAAGTCAGGAGTTTGAGACCAGCCTGGCCAACATGGCGAAACCAAGGCTAGGGCACTTCAGCCTGGGCAACAGAGCAAGACTCCATCTAAAAAAAAAAAATATATATATATATATATATATATATAATATATATATATGTCAACTGAAAAAAGCCTGACACAAAAAGCCATATACTGTAGGACTCCATTTATATGAAACTTCTTGCCGGGCGCGGTGGCTCAAGCCTGTAATCCCAGCACTTTGGGAGGCCGAGGCGGGTGGATCACGAGGTCGAGAGATCGAGACCATCCTGGTCAACATGGTGAAACCCCGTCTCTACTAAAAATACAAAAAACTAGCTGGGCGTGGTGGCGCGTGCCTGTAATCCCAGCTACTTAGGAGGCTGAGGCAGGAGAATTGCCTGAGCCCAGGAGGCGGAGGTTGCAGTGAGCCGAGATCACGCCATTGCACTCCAACCTGGGTAACAAGAGCAAAACTCCGTCTCAAAAAAAAATAAAAAGAAACTTCTAGAATAGGCAAAACTTACAGAGAGAGACAGAAAGCAGATTAGTGATGGCCTGAGGCTGGGCTAAGAGTGTGAATTGACACCAAACGGGCAAAACAGAACTTTTCATCAGGGTGAAAGAAGGGTCTGAAAATGACCAGACGTGGTGGCTCACACCTGTAATCCAAGCACTTTGGAGGCCAAGGCAGGTGGATCACCTGAGGTCGGGAGTTCAAGACCAGCCTGACCAACATGGTGAAACCCATCTTTAAAAACAGTAATAATAATAATAATATAATAATAATAATGAAGAAGAATCTGTTAACTAGATAATGGCAACAGTGGCACCACTGTATACATTCACTAAAAATCATCTAACTACACTTACAATGGGTGAATTGCATAATATGTAACCTGTATCTCAAAAAAAGCAGTTTAAAAATTTTAATGGTATAATTAGTGAGAAAGTAAAATATGAATATTACTGGGAAAATGTAACTGTTGAATATACACACAGGCAAGGACTAGAAGTTAATGTGGAAACACTCATATATTGATTTTATTATTAGGGT